CCGAGGCCTTGGAGGTGGGGGCAGGTGGGGGGAGGACCCCGTAGCAGGAGTCCCCACCTGGGCCAGCAGTCTCGGAGGTGGGGGCAGGTGGGGGAAGGGATGAGGGTGGCAGCTGACTGCTGGGTGTGGACCCCTCCCCTTCCTCCTCTTGCATCATGGGAATTCAGCCTCAGACGCCCTGCAGGAGGGAGCAGGGTAGGGGGTCTCCCTGCTGCCCCGAAGCCAGGTGCATGCCCGCCCCATCTCAGGGTAGCCTGTGGCCCGGCCTTCCAGAGGGTGAGTAGAGCGCCAGCCTGACGTCACTAAACCCAGCTCTGCGCCCAGCTGCAGACTACCCCCCAAATCTTGGCAATGCCCTGAGCTCTCGCGGTCCCAGGCCCTGACATGGGGATGAGTGCCCTGATGAAGGATTCAGATTTCCTCACCTATGTGTTCAGTAACATTTGGTGAGCAGCTAGGTCCCACGTACTAGGGACGAGAGGCCAGAGGTGGCTTCCAGAGCTCACAGGATGCACTGTGTGCTCAACGCTCTAGGGCAAAGGGCAGATGAGTCAAGGGACAGAGGGCTTAACTGATTGGAGACATCAGGGAAGGCTCCCTGGAGGAGGTGTCGCTCACCCTGAGGGATGAATGGGGGTCAGCCGGGTGACAGGCTAGTGTGTGTCAGAGAGCCGGGACACGCATATTGGCTCACCATAAATGAGGGCCACCTTCCCACAACACGGCCTTGGGGGTGGCCCCAGGGTCCTGCCGTGGCCGTCAGCACCTGACCCTGCAGAACATGCTCTCCTTTCCGAAGTCGTATCGGCCCAAAAACCCCACTGCCCTGTGTCTGGACGCCCGATTTTGTGCGATGCCAGCCCTGACCAGGGAAAAATCTAAAGCAATTTTTTTTTCCTCCTGTGCACCGCGTTTCCAGAAACAGATAGAAAACAACTACAACAAAGCTCCAGATTGCTTCTGAGAAAAGGGGTTCCTCTTGATTCCAGCTTAATCCTGGCCCATCAAGGGACTTCCCGCACCTGTCACCTCGTGGGTTTTTTGCTATCTAAGGGTAGGGTTCAAAGGTGCCTTTTGCCCAGAGCAAATCCTCTGCGACCACGGAGAGAGCGTGCGTAAGAAGCGAGCCGGCCCGAGGCAGAGGAGAAAGCCGAGTGACGAGGCCCGGGGGGACGGCCGGGTGCAGACCCCCCCTGCTGCCTGCACTGCGGGGCTCAAGCCACTCCCCCCACCTGACCAGGCACCAGGGCCCAGAGTGACCGAGCCCGGCTCTGAACCAGGCCACCAGCTAGTCCCATCCGTGGCGCAGCTGCAAGAACTACTCCCATCAAACCACCTTGGAGACGCTGGGCTCCAGAACACGGTGGGACAGAAGCTTCCGCAGACCCAAACGTCCCTGCCTACAGCTGGGCTGCCTGCTGGGTCTCCCTGCACCTGCGAGGCTCCTCCCGATGGGAAGGGAACCTGCCAGCAGGACCTACCAACTTAGCGGCTCTGGGAAACACAGCCTGGGGGACACGGTTCTCTGCACCAGGCTCTGTGGATTCATGTCGCAGCTCGAGCCTCTAAACACTCTTGAAATTCTCCTTCAACGGTTTTCCCCTGGAGGCTCCAGCAGAGGCAGCAGGTGGAGGTGAGGGACCGCAGGACCCACAGCTGGGAGCAGGACGAGGGAGAAAGCAGGAAGAGACCCGCAGCCAGGGGAGCCCCGGCCATCCTCACACGGCCCCTTGAGGATGAGCCCGTGGGGCGGGGGTAGACGTGGCCAGGCTTGGATTGCACGGGACCAGCTAAGGGGCCTGGACTTCACCCTGGAGGTCATGGGAAGGCAAGAAAGGTCACGAGGGAGGCACAGGATGGATGCAGCGTGGAAGAGAGACGCAGGGCAAGACCAGCCTTGGGCACCCCGCCACGAGGACCACCCATTCATCCTGCACCTCCCACTCAGCCCACGAGTACGGACTCCCCAAGGGCTAACACCCTGTCTGCTCCATCTTCAGAGCCCCCAAGGGCAGCCCTGTCGTGCCTAGCACAAAGGACAAGTCACCTGAATATACTGCTGCTACAGTCCGTAGTGGGTCGGAGAGTCCCCAAAACTCATGTCCTTCCCAATACCTCAGGCGGCGGCCTTACTTGCAGAAAGGACTGTTGCAGATACAATGAGTTAAGATGAAGTCATTCTGGAGTAGGGTGAGCCCTTAATCCAACGTGACGGGTGTCCTCATGAGAAGAGACACAGGAGCCCCGGGGAGAGGTGAAGAAGCCACGCGGCAGAGGCGGCGATCAGAGCGAGGGACGCAGCAACAGCCAGGAGCACCCGAAGCTGCCAGGAGCTGGGAGGGCCAGGAAGGAGCCTCCCTGAGCCTGCAGAGGGAGCGCGTCCTGGGACGCTCGGAGTTCAGACTTCTGGCCCCAGAACCGGGAGAGAACGGATTTCTGTTGCAAGCCCCCATGTGGTGCTGGTATCGGCGGTCCCGGGGACGCTGGGGCAAGGCTGAGAGTCACAAGCACCGCAGCCAGGGTGGAGGGCGCTCAGCCCTTCGGCACCGACGGCCACCCAAATGTGCAGGGGTCAGAATGCCCACGAGGATTGGCGCCTGGTGACACAGTCAGTCAAGCCTCCAACTCTTGATTTCAGCTCAGGTCATCATCTCAGGGTCGTGAGATCGAGCCCCACGTTGGGTTCCGCATTCAGCACGGAGTCTACTTGTCCCTCTCCCTCTGTTCCTCCCCCACCCCCCGCTCTCTCTTTCTCTCTCTCAAATAAATAAATCGAATCTTAAAAAAAAAAAAAGAATGTCACAAGGTGACATTCGGGAACCCTGGGACCCCCCACCACCCCCCGCCGCAGCAGAGGGCAGTCAGTCGCCAAGGCAGGACTCCCACGGAGGTGACAGTCAAGGCCCAGACAGACAAGGACAGCTCTGCCCATGAACGAGGTGGGACAGCACATCACAACGACCCGGAGCCTCAGTTCGGCTTTTCCTGGAGGCCCCCGGCACCCCAGGTTCGAGCAGCGTCCCCACACCCAGCCCGTGCTGGGGCCCCACAGTAACCCTCCTTCCCCGGGAACATCTCCCTCAGCAGCATCCCCGGGCCCCCTCCCCTCCGCTCTCTGCAGATCCTTCCCCCAGTCGTACGGAGGGTCGGGCCCTGAGCCGGCAAATGCCCGGACATCCCTGCACAACACCCCTCAAGCAGATGGACCCTTTAACATCTGCTCATTTTATGCTCCCCTCATGATCTGAAACAAGTCTTGGTAATTAATAATGCTGCTCTGCGCAAAGTCAATGGCTAGCAGGACCCAGAGACATCACACAGGGAGACGGCAGGCCCCTGTCCAGGGGGGCAGCTGAGGTGTAGGCTACGGGTGTGAGCAACGTGAAGGGGGAGAGAGAACAGCAGCGTCAACTCGGGGGAGCACAGAGCCAGCTGTGGACCAGCTGCAGAAGCTCAGGCACTTACAAAGTAAGAGGAACATATTGGAACAATGTGGCGGCAAGAGCGACCCGCTCAGCTGATGGCCGGCCATCCCCAGCCAAAGCAGGTGGGCTGCCAGGCAGGAGGCAAGCTGGGGCTCAGTCGGAGCAGTCCATCGGGGCATAGGCTGCCGCTGGGTAGTGAGCACCCCATCGCCCAGAGGTATGTAATACATCGGTGCTGGCATTGTACAGGTGATCAGACAGGAAGACCTCCCAGGTCAGTGCTCATCTGAAGGTCAAGTGCACCCCAAACCCTCACCTGAGGCCCACAGACCACTGACAACCTGGCTTAAATTGATTCTGGCAGCTGTGGTGGACGAGGAGAGAGAAGTCAAAATGAATGGTAAGCTTTCAGGACACTAGCGACCACACGCATACACACGCACGCACGCACACGCATGCACATGCATGCACACGCACACACATGCATACACACGCACACGCATGCATACGCATGCACACGCACACGCATGCACGCACACGCATGCACGCACACGCACACACATGCATGCACACGCACACACGCACTCGCATGCACGCACGCACGCGCATGCATGCACACGCACACACACACACGCATGCACACACGCACGCGCACAACGGCAGCAGGGGAGTTACGTGCACAAGTGAGCACTCGCGGGTTACACACCCCTCCGTGCACCTGCTTTGCCCTCCCCTGCACACGTGCTGTCGTGCTCCCTCAGCCAGGAGTGCCCTCCCTGCTCCCCCACCCGGCCTCAGCTTCCTCCAAAGTGCCCCCCGAAGCTCACGCATCCTGTTGCACTTTCCGCCCTCCCTGGGGTCCCCCCACCATGCTCTGTGGACTCGTGCAGCCACCACCCTGTGGGGTGCGGTGGGAATGCTGGGGTGCTCGACAGATGCGGGCCACGTCTGTCTCTCAACCCCAAGCTGGTTACCTGGGGGGGTGGGTGTACCTACTGAAAATTCACCAAGCTGGCCACTTATGACAAATGCCTTTTCCCGTGAAAGTGGAATGCTTCAAAAGAAATTTATGTTTAAAAAAAAAATAAAACCTTCCAGCTTTAAATCTAGAAACGCCACCGACATTTAATTGGCTTTATTCATTGGAAAACATACAGCTCTGGGGCTTCCGATGAACCGATACTCAGTGAGGGGACGGAACTGCCCACTGACTGGGCGGGTGGGTCGCTCAGGGCCCCCCGGGCCTGCCGGCAGGGTGCACCTCACCTCCCCATCCCAGTCCAGCCGAAGGAGCACCAGGGTGACTGCATGGTGGGGAGGGGCGGGGGGTCCACAGCACCCCGATTCCCACAACTGCAGGGACTCCACTTCTTCCAGAAGGGGCCTTGTCCACCTCAGGTCCATCGACTGCCCGAGGGGCCCCGGATGACAGGCAGAGGCAGGGTGATTCAGGTTCTTCCAGAGGCTTCTCTGCAGAGGCTGGGAAGACACAGCCATTCGCATCCACGTGGCAATTTCTCCTGCGCCGGGAGCATGGGCAGCTGGGAGCGGCCCAGCCACGGGAAACGCGTGCGGTCCCAGCCGGTCCAGCAGCAGCGGGAGTACCCGCGCTGCCCACCCCTGCTTCTCCCCTGCTTCTCCCCTGCACGTCAGGCCTCCCTGTCACATCGATGAGCAGCCACGGCCTAGCAAGTGGGGGTAGCTCAGAGCTCTTCAATTCCCCCAAACAAGTCTGGATTCAAGGGCACCAACTCTCCAGCGACCCGGCGACAGCCAGCACCACACGCGAGCCCACCGTGAGCTCCACGGTGTCCTGCAAAATCATACAGCACGAAGAGCATGGGATGACCTCTCCCAGTGCCTGTAAGCACCGTGCCCGGTCACTCATCCCAAGGGTGCAGGTCGGATGTGACCCAGGACGGCCCTCCTCCTGAGGCATGGCCCTGGAGCCACATGCGACCTTGCCCGGTGTCTCCTCCCCGCCCCATCCCCCACAGCCATCCGACGGCTGAGAAATGAAAGGCCTTCATGAGCCATTACCCTGTGATTCTCAGGAGCCCCGAGGTACAAGCAAGCACGGGCCCCACGCTGCCCCGACCACACACGGCACAGGGACCCAGCACAAGGCGCTGACCTGCTGCTTTCTGTCCAGCCTCTGATGAGCTGTCATGAATTTCTAGTCACCTCAAGTGAAGTTAAAGATGCTCTGTACCTTGCTGGACTCACTCGATGTCCAAGCCACCACCCACCTGCCCAGGCAGGCGCTGTGATGGGCCCTCACACAGACGGCAGAACCGTGAGAACCAGCTCACTCCCCCCAGAGTCGCCGTGCTAACAAGGCCACGTGGGCCCGGGACCCTGGCCTGCATCCTGTTTTCCTGCCACCTGGCACGGAGGCTCCCCTTCCCAGGCTGGGCTCTCAGACCCCAGTGGAGGCAGCGGCCCCCGGCGCCCACGCTTGACCCAGCAGGAGATGCCAGGTCGGCTGGATGAACAGACAAGCCAGCGTTGTGCTAGGAGTCCTACCAGGCCCAGAACTATCTGCACAGGCCGCCCATCTCCAAGTCCCTGTGTCCCAGCACCAACCTTGACCAGAAGGGGGAATCTCGAGGAATATACACATGATGGGGCTCCCTGCTAATCCCCCCGAGCCTCCCACGGAGAGGGCACCGGCTAGCCCCATTAGCATGGCCGAGTCAGATTCAGAGAGGCTAGTAAACGGCTCCGCGGTCACCCCACTAGAAAGCAGCAGATCCCGGACTCAAACCCTGGTCTGTCTGAGCTCTGGCCAGGGCCCAGCTCGGGCCTGACTGTGGCCAAGGGACAGCCCCAGATGCGAAGACCCTGCGCCATGCCCTCTCTCCCCTCTGTGCCTGGGCCCGGTGTTGGGGTCTGCGAGGGCCGAGGGCCGGTGGGTACAGACAAGGGAACTGGACACTGTGGGAAGCAAGGAAGAGCCAGCTAGGCTCCTAGGGGAGCTGCAGATACAGTATATCCCCCTCGGAAAAGTTAATCCTCTGTTGGCAACACACTGGTCTAGGGCCTGGTGGATCCATCAGCAGCTTTCAGTCACCCAGAGATGAATTCTCCAAGTCTGTTTTCATGCAAATACTCCAGGAAATCCGTTGGGATCTCTGAGCCACCTGGCTTGGGGCAAGGGGCAATGCGATGGTGTGGTCAGGATTCTAAAAATGCAGAGGCCGGTTTAGGGGCCGGCCCTGCCCTGCAGACCCGTCACACAGAGGATGGGCTCTGGTGGGGACAGGGGAGTGGGGGGGACACAGATGGTGGGTGCTGAGGACCCTGCGGCCCATTTTCCTCCTCCCCAGCGCCTGGAGGTGGGGCTGCTCAACCAAGAGGGGGTTTCTGGGGCTCAGGCCCACTCAGAGGAGAGAGCCAGCAGGTAACCTCCTGGCAGGGGCCAAGGACAGCAGGGCCAGCACTGAAGTCACGCCCTCCTTCGGGGTGGGGGCGGGGTAGGGCCCATCTGCCAGGCCCATTCTTCTGGAAGTGACCTCTCCGCCCCACAGAGCCCTCAGGGATTCCCTGCAGAAACTAATTGCCTGGAAGCATAAATAACATGCCCCAGGGACAGCGTGGGGGCAGGGCAGTGAGGCCCCCACAGGCGCCCTGAATGGGGAACAAAGCAGGCCTCAGCTGCTCTCAGCCCACCCACCCACCGTTCCCAGGAAGGGGGTGCCCGGAAGGAAACCAGGATTACAGACATGGAGACATCTGGGCCCAGGAAGCTCTCTGGGTCCTATGAACACACCTCTCTAAAAACAGCAAGTGCCAGCTAGCAGTCCCCTGCCCCACTAGACCCCAGCCCCCTGCCCCACTAGGCCCCACTGCCAGCCCCCAAACACACATACAGGCCCCACACGCATCCCAGGAGGTGCCACGGGAGCCCACCCCCTGTTGTGAAGCCCACAGTGCCTCCTGAGGGAGGAGCATAGGCAGCGGCCCGTCTTCACTCCCCCACCAAGTCCCCAGGAGCCCCAGGGAGGGGTAAGCCCCCCAAAAGATGAGAGAACCGAGGCTGGAGGTCATCCCGGGTGTGGGGGCGGCCATCCAAGCCATCCCGGGGCCACCCCGCTTCCCACGCAGGACAGGCCCCAGACGCAGGCTGGAGGGTAGGCTGCCATCTGACCAGCCTCCTGCCACCTGGCCCTGGAGCAAACCCAAGGGACCCTCAGAAGCAGAGCATGAACAACGCACCCCTTGCACCGATTATTCTATCATCTGATGATTCAGATAAGGAAGGTCCTGGAAACACAGCCCCAGAGGGAGCATGGCCACACCTGAGCTCAGGTCCCAGCTGTGCCGCCTGCAGGCTGCTCACCCTCTCTGTGCATCTGGGTCTCCCCTGAGACAGGATGACCACATCCTGGGGTCCCTGTTGTGGGGTCCTGGGGGACACCCTGGATGTCCGAGCGTGGTCCTCACACCCCACAACCCCTCAGGCAATGTCAGGTGCCCTGGCTGGGCTCCATCAGCGTAGCCAGCGGCCCCGAACCCGAGGTCTCCTCCTGCCCATCGATCTTCTATCCCAACCCACACCTGCTCCCAGGCTCTAACTCCCCACTGCCCGGGCTGTATTCAGAGTTGAGCCCGGTTCTGTGCCGAGGTCCCTTTCCGCTATTTCAGTAGTCCCGAGATACCTGTTCTCACCACCGTAACTACTGTCCGGGTCTGGTTCTTCTTGGAGGGCAGTGATGGGTGCACGACGTGAACGCGCACTGCAGCGCGGTGGGAAGGTGACCGTCACGTCATGCGTCTTTACAGAGAGCCTCCGCCACCATGAGCGAACACATACCACAGCCCCTTCCAGCGCGCCGGCTCCTGAACAAAGGCCAGGGACACGCTGTGCCTCTTTCCCAACAGTCCTGGGGGCCCAGGGGCAAGATCGGGGTCGCCTGGAGGGGTCTCTGAAGAAACCACTGTGACCCTCTGCGAGACTGGGGGGAGGCGGCAGGCCTCCCCGGCGTTCACGCCTCGGGTCCCAGGCTCACTGCAGCAAGACGAGACCAGCGTCCTCCAAAGTGTCAACGCTGAACAAACCTGGATTTTACCCCAATTAGTATCATGAGCCTGAGCTAATTGATTCGTTCCAAAGGGCGCCATCCCATCAGCTGGCTTCAAGACACTTAACATCTGATTTCCAGATCCAGAGAGGCTGCCATTACCAAGATTAATTGTAGACACACACCATTTAATCCCCCGCCCTCCCCACAGAAACAAAGGTGACAGCTCTCCCAAAGAAAGGATGCGGGGCCCTGGCGAGATGGTGAGTCACTCAGGAAGGAGACCATCGCCGGCATTTAGACGCAGGGCCACCTGAGGAAGTCCCCGCCAGCACCACGCAGGGGTCAGGCCTGAGAGCCACGGTCCCCAGGAGAAATCTCACCTCTGACCTTCCCACAGTGCGGTCGTGGGGGGACCAGGACTCTGGGCTTGAGGGGGAGTACTCATCACCCATACTCTGCCCTCGATTTGGGAAGTCAAGGCCCAGAGAGGAAAGGGCTTAGACCAGGGGCCGGAAAAGCCTGGAATGGATGCCTTGGTATCCCCGACAGGTCACCTCCCACCACGTGGCCTCAGTTATTCATCCAGAAAATGAGAAAAAAACTACAGCCCCCGCACCAACGGGCGCAATGAGGATCCGGGAGTCGGACGCCCAGAGCCGTCCCTGAGGCATGGAAACACAGATGTTTGTTTCTAAGACATTTCATCTGGAAAAACGTTAGTTTCTTCTTTCTTCTCTGCCCCCATTAAACCTCATCAGGCTTTGCAAACGTGACGGTGCTTTATTAAGGCTTCCAGTGTTAATATTGATACAAGGCTGGGGACCCCGCAGCCTCGCAGCCTCCGCCAAAGAAGGCGGGCTGGAATATTTAGTATTGTCCATGAATAATACATGACCCGGAGGGGCCACTCCTGGGATGACCCCATGAATTATCATCTCTGCAGTGGAGGGAGCTGCTCGCCCGGTGGGGGGAGCACGCTGCAGCTAACGTGTGGCCGTGCATACACAGAGCTCTGTGCGCAGGCTGAGGCTTTAGGGGATGAAACAGGGCGTGAGCCTAAGCCAGGAGCCCAGGCAATGGTTCCGTGGAGCCAGGCAGGCCCGTCCTCGAAGCTAGTCTCGCACGGCCACACAGGGCGTATCATACCATCTCAAGAAGTAATACAGGCAACAAGCCCAGCAGTGTAAACACACAGTGGTGAAAAACCCAAGAGAGGGCGGGAACAGGAGCCCACCTGTCCTGTCCCTACCTGTGGCAAGACACTGGCCATCACTGGCCCCCGGTTCCCTTCTCCCTCTTCCGTGGAAGACAAGCTTCAGACGGGCACAGGGCTGCCTGGGTAAAGACCCCACCTCCCGTCCCCACCACAGCTAGATGTGGCCTCGTCACTGCGGTCTGCACAGCACGTGAGAACACACGGCTGTGAGGCAGGCCCCTGCTCTTTCAGCAAAAGCCCTGCCTCTCCCTTTTCCTTCCCTGATGCACAGGATGGAATGTAGATGCAACGATAGAGGTTGAGCAAACATGCTACACCACGAGGGGGAGGCCACATGCAGGGCACGGGGTGGCAGAGCAAGGGGATGCCAGGAGCCTGGGCTTTGGTACAGAGAGGGACAGCGTCCGGCCTGTTCAGCCACTTTCACAGGGTCTCCTGTTTTGGCAGCCTCACCCTTCCCGCCGCCAGCCACTCATCCTCTCCAGCCAGCAAGGACCAGTCATCTTTTATACCCAATGTACAAAAATATTCAGATCCCCTAATATCCATTTTGACATTTTCTGATCTAAA